ATTTTTTTTAATTTTTCTCCACATTAAGCCCTAAGTACATATTAACTCACATACCTCTTAGCTGCGTAATGAGATGCTAATGACACTATCAGATGAACAAGTAGATAAAACCTGTACCCAGGTGCAGCTTTAGTAATGCCCAAGTCATACCACCCAGATGCTACTCTCCATGTGTGCTCATCTGTCTCAGTTAACCGCCTTCTGGGCTTTTATTTTAATAAATCTTTCTGCTTTTACCTACTGTTTTGTCTTTATTTTTATGATGAAAATGTAGTATTTGGGTGCAGGCTACTCAAATATTTTTTTGGGACGTAATATTTTGCTTTTTGTTTTGGGGCCGCACCCAGAAATTATTATTTTTTTGGCTTTTTGGGTCACACCTGGCGATGCTCAGGGGTTACTCCTAGCTCTGCACTCAGGAATTAATCCTGGCAGTGCTCAGGGGACCATATGCGATGCTGGGATTAGAACCTGGGTTGGCTGCATGAAGGCAAATGCCCTACCTGTTGCGCTATTGCTCCAACCCCTCCCTGAAATTCTTAGGGGTTACTTCTGGCAGTGCTCGGAACTATAGGGATTTGTGGGGGCTGAACCTGGGTCAGCTATGTATAAGCCGAGCACCCTACGTGCTGTACTATCACTCCAGCCCCATAAAATGTTTTTTGGGGGGTGGGATGGGGAGGACACATTCAACTCTGCTTGGGGGACCATGTGGTGCCATAGACGGAATCAGGGCTCCCATATGCAGAGTGCGTGTTCCAGTTCTCTGAGCTATCTCCTTGCCCCCCCCCCCCCCCATAGTTAAATATTATCCCAGCCTAGGTTCCTTGGCTACCCTGAAGTTCAGGATATCAAAGTTTGATTCAGAATTCATGCAGGTGCCAGAGCAGTAGTGCAGAGGGTAAGACACTTGTCTTGCATGTAGCATGTAGCAGACCCTGTTCAATCCCCAGCACTTCATACGGTCCCCTGAGCACCACCAGGAATAATTCCTGAGTGCAGAAACCAAACAGAATCAAGTGACCAAAGTGTGACCAGTCATCTTATGGGACTGGCAGGGTAAATGTGAGCTCATACAGGACCCTGGGGGAACCACATGGAATGCTGGGAATCGAACCCAGGTTAGCCTTGTGCAAGGCAAACACCCTACCTGCTGCACTATGGCTCCAGCCTCACAATTATTTTTTTGTTAGAGTTCTTGGCAGGAGTCTGCCACTTTTATGATGCTAACATCCTCTTTCAGTCTAATATTTCTAGATAGGGTTTTACAGTATTCTACATCATTTTTGTGTAGCTAATTTTTTGTGCCACACCCATCAGTGTTCCAGGGCTGTTTCTGGGTATGTGCTTGAGTGCTTGGGGAAACATATGTGGTTCTAGGGATTGAACCGAGTTGGCAGGATGGAAGACGAAAATGCCTATACATATCTCTCTGGTCACCTGTGATGTATTTTTGTGCCTAGAATCCTAGTATGCTAAAAATTGTTTTTAAAAATTTTTGAAAAATAAATTAGGGGTCAAAAGATAGTAGGGCAGATTAGGTGTCTGCCTTATATGCACTTGACTCATGCAAGTCATAGCTTCAATCTGACACAGCAGATGGTCTTAGCCCCACCAGGAGTGATCGCTCAGTAGTCAGGAGTACTGAATATAGCTGCGTGTGACCCCCCCCCAAAACAAAACAAATTGTTTTTTAGACATTTTTTTTCTTTTTGGGTCACACCCGGCGATGCACAGGGGTTACTCCTGGCAGTGCTCGGGGGACCATATGGGATGCTGGAAATAGAACTCGGGTCGGCGCCGCATGTGAGGCAAACGCCCTACCTGCTGTGCTATCACCCCACCTCAACAATCTTTCTTAAGCAGAATTTTTTTAAAAACTATTTCAGCGATACCTGGAGGGGTTCAGGGAGCACTCCTAGTAGTGCTAGGGGACTGTATCAGGTGCCTGGAATTGAACTAGGGTCAGCTGTGTGCAAACACCTTAATCCCTGTATTATCTGTCCAAACCCTGAAATTTTAGCTTTTGCTAGGCACCAAGTTTTGTTTTCAGGCCACACCAGGCAGTACTCGGGGCTTTCTCCTTGCTCAGCACTCAGGAATCACTGGCTGTGCTCAGACCATATGGCTTGCTAGAATCAAACCCAGGTGGACTGTATGCAAAGCAAACACTCTACCCTGCTGTACTATCGCTCTGCCCCTGGTATTTATTACTCAGTCAAGATTCAAGGTTTGACTTGATGCTTGGCTTCCAATGCAAGACTTGGGTTACATATGGTTCATCCCTATCCCCAAGGTCCTGGATGAATAATACCCTGAGTCTGCCAGGACTAAGCACAGACAGAACTATAAACCCTGAGCATAGCTGGGTGTGGTCCATACACCAAAACCCAAAATGTCAAAATATATTTAGTCTTTTTAGTTGTGCTCAGTGGAGTGATGATCTGAATTTTCTAGCTCACAATTGAAATCTTAGCTACTATTTAAATTGGTGTGTGTGTGCGTGTGCGCATGCGTGCGTGTGCGAGTGCTGTAAACTGTTCAGGGAGCCCTGGCGTCACTCTGATTATCCTCAGACTCACTACGGGCCTGACGGGAGTGCCTATGCTATTAGATGCAGTACTGCTAGTTGGAGGAACGTGTGGCATCAGGGATGGAACTTGGGACTTCCACATGCGATTGTGCTTCAGACCCTTTCTTTCTTAGAGTTTACTCCTGACTCTGCCCTCGGGGACCATTCTTGGTGGGACTTGGGGGACCCTGTGGGGTGCCAGAGATCAAACTGGGGTTGGCCGCATGCAAGGCAGGCATTGTATCCGCTGTACTATTGCTCTGATCTCCATTTAAAAAAATATACACCTAAGAAGATACTTTTAAAACACATCTATGGTTTCTTCTTTGGATACATAGTAACCTGAGGTAATGTTGACTCGGGAGAAGTTGGGGGTAGCTTGTTCCCTGTTGGCCCAAGATCAACTGAGCCCACCCTGAAATTTTTTTTCACTGACTCAAGACAGAAATTGTATTATCTAATGTTTTGAAAATGGAAATCACAAATGGAAAAATTCAAATACCTGGAAATGAAATAAAAAGCAGAATAGAATTTTCTGAATAAAATAAACTTATCTTTCTACCATCTTGGAGCCTATGGAGGGCTGGAATTCTAATGAACAGGTACAGCTTGAAGGCTCTAGTCCAAAGCCATTTTTGCAGTGGCTTGTGGGGTTCTTAACCTGAAGGAGCACACAGCTCTTCTAAAATGGAAGGTATTTATGCTTTAAATGAAACTGAATTGTCTGGTCAAGAGATAGTCCAGCAGGTATGGTGCTTGCCTTACAGCCAACCCAGGTTCAATCCCTGGCACCCCATATGATCCCCTGAACACTGCCAGGAACGCTTATTGAGTTTAGAGCCAGGCGTGATCCAAAGACAAAAGGAGTGTTTATATATACAAAACAAAGAACCCAAGTGACTCCTGGTGGCAAACCTAACAAAACAGTTATTTGGGGACACGTTTCTTGTGCCTACTTGGAGTTCAAGCCACATTCCAAAATAACCTTCCTGCTTATACCACTGGACACAGAATCTACATAATGCTGAAGCCCTCAAGGATTTAAACTGATTGAAAAGTAAATAAAATGTATTTAAAAAAATTAGGGGCTGGAGTGATAGTACAGCGGGTAGGGCATTTGCCTTGCATGTAGCCAACCTGAGTTCAATCCCCGGCATCCCATATGGTCCCCCAAGCACTGCCAGTAGTAGTATCTGAGTGCAGAGCCAGGAATAACACCTGAGCACCGCTGGGTGTGACCCAAAAAGCAAAAAACAAAACAGAAAACTTAAAAAAGTAAATAACGTCACTGAATTAAATTCAAATTTTTGTTTTGGGGCCATGCCCAGTTAATGGCTCAGGGGCCATATAGAATGCTAGGTATAAACCTGGGTCTGCTGTGTGCAAGCACCTTACCGTTTCACCATCGTCTTGCCCGTATACTTTCAATTTTAATTGTAGTACTTGGGTACACTAGTCACATTGTCATGTACTTGGTTGTAGTAGTACTAGGGAGATTGTATATTTTTAAAATTTTTTTTATTGTATATAGCTAGGGATAGCATGTGGTGGCTGGAGTGATAGCACAGTGGGTAAAGTGTTTGCCTTGCATGCGGCCGGCCCGGCCAACCCAGGTTTGATTCTTCAGCTCCCTCTTGGAGAGCTTGGCAAGCTACCAAGAGTATCTTGCCCACACGGCAAAGCCTGGAAAGCTACCTGTGATGCATTCATATGCCAAATACAGTAACAAGTCTCACAATGGAGATGTTAATCGATGAACAATGGGAGGTGCTACAGTGCTACCATGTGGCAGTGCTACACCTACATGGGTCACATTTGGCCTGCGAAGCAATGCTGAGCAACTCAGCTGCATGTTTACAAGGCATTCTACTAGCTGAGCCATTTTCAGGTCTGGGGTTGTATTTATAGTTACAAAATTAGAGCTATAGTCTAGTGGGTAGGGCACTTGCCTTGTATGCAACCAACCCAGGTCCCAGCTCAGGCACCCCGTATGGTCCTGATTCTGCCAGGTGTGATTCTAAACACAGAATGAAACCCTGAGCACCACAAGATGTGGCTCAAAAACAAATGTAACACTTCATACTTGGCTCTGTATATCCTTTTGAGATGTGTGCTTTCTTAGCCTTGCTTGCCTCTCCTCTGTAGCTCACATCTGCCTGAGATGTGGACTTTTGTACTTTAGGGCACATTTTCACTTTCTGGCCCACACGTGTGTGCTAGGGATATGTACTTGGTTTTTCAATTTTGAAGAAATCCATGTTCTTTTTTGAGCACATATGTTTACCTTTTTCTTCCCTTCCTTTATTTACCAAATGAACTTGTTTTACTTTTATTTTTTTAAAAAAAAGCATAAAAATATGCAGCATTATGCAATGCTTATTATAGTATCTAAAAGTGAAGGTTCACAGAAAAGTAACAAAAGTTCAGATATCCAAAGTCTTTATTTTTAAAACAGGAATATAAAATCTATTGTATTCAGTTACATATTGTCAATCTCTGGAAACAGTTAACACTTAAGGGAAGGGGAACCAGATACGAGAAAAGGAAAACATTTTAGCATTTGGTGTCTTCTGAAATTTGAGCCAAATGCATGTTGTAGGCTTTCTTCAAGTTTTTTTTTTTCATAAAACTTTCAAGGTTTTTTCCTTAAAAGACAGAAATTTGAAAGGTCCAGCGCAATAGTATAGTGGGTAGGGCACTGACTCATCTTCAATCCCTGACATCCAATATGGTCCCTCGAGGCCCACCAGGCATGATCCCTGAATGCAGAGCCAGGATTAAGCCCTGAGTACTGCTAGGTTTGGCTCCAAACGAAACAAAAAAGTTGAAGTAAAACCTGCAATATTCTAACAAAAATTCTTTCAGGTATGTTCAAATTGGAAAGTATTATATTTCTTTCATCTGATGGAGAAACTTTTCCACAATTCTATTCAGTCTTTCAGGTTCCATCAGTTTATTTACCAATTCTTGCTCAACAACCATTAGACCCAGGCCACTAAGCTTCTCTTGTCCTATGGTATGACATAAATATGTTTTAAGACGAAACAGTGTAGAAAATGAGTTTTCAGCACTTGCCGAAGAAACTGGCCAAGACAATGCAGTATATAATAACTTTGATATACAAGGAATATTACTGTGAAGACCATGCTGAATAAATAAATAGCCAAGATTGATGAAATTAATATGAGTGTAATCTGTGACAAAGTTAAGCTTTGCATATTGTCGATAAAATCGAAGTTCTGGGATGATGTCTGCATCAAGCTTATAAAATTCTTGGATATGTTTGGCTGTTGATTCACTTAATGGTTCATTCCATTTTAGTAATAGTTCTGAAACTTGCTTAATTTTTAAATAATCAAACTCTGAAAAACGTAATTTTAAATTCAGTAATATACTATCTAATCCTTGGTAATAAATATTAATTTTATATTGTTCTTCGGTTGAGATTGGAGAAAACATGCTATTTAAACCACCATGTTCTGTTTTCTGAATTTTTCTTCTTTTCTGAAAAGAGGGGCTTTCAACTTCAAAACCTTTACAGGTTATTTTTTGACATATTTCCTCTGTTTCATCCCACAGCGTTTTGAAATCCACATCATTTCTTTCAGTTGATAGACATTCCAAAATTGCTTTTATTTTTGAAGACAAAGAAAAAATATCTAAGGTTTCACTTTGAAGTTCTTTAGAAAGAATTCCTGTAACACTTAGTACTCGATAAAGAAATTTCAAACAAAAGATAAATTCAAATTTAGAAACTAATGTCAATAAATCATTCAATTCATCACCTAAACTTGTGTCCGAAGAATGACTTGATGCAACTTCTAGTGTTTCAATAATTTCTGGGAGACCCTCAATCACAGATAACAATATTTGATCATGGACTGTCCAACATGTCTGTGATACATGTTTCTTGCATATTTTGTTTTTACTTAATTTACAAATGTTTTGAAATTTTGCTGACATTTCCCCAGACATATGAATAATGTTAAACAAAGAAGTGAGAGTAGTTAGAGCACTTCGGAGTTCTTTTATTTCTTTACAATACCTAATCACTTCCAAATCCAAAAAATGTGCATGACAATGTGTATATAATGCTCGTGGCTCTTCCTTCTTGAATTCTTCTGCACTTTCATTAAATTTTCCCCTCAAATTAGTAGCACTGTTATAGGCCTGGCCACGTATTTTACTCAAATCAACTCCAATTTGCTGAAGGTAAGTTCTGATAGTCCTATGTAAGTTGCTCCCAGTCATCTCTTCAATATCTATAAAACCCAAGAATCTTTCTTTAATTAAGATAGCCTTTGATGTTTTATGTGGGTATCTTACACAAATTGAAATCTGATTCTTAATACCTTTATCACTTATTTCATCACATATTATTGAAAAAGCTGAGGAGACATTGATCTCATTTACAATATCTTCCAACATTTCAGTCTTGATTACTTCGATAATATCATTCTGAATTTGTGTACTATTATAAAAGTCAATTTGGGAAGTCATAAGTTGGAATATTTCTTCTCCTTTATCTTTTGCTCTGATTTCTAACAATTCTAAAAAATTGCCTTTATTAATAGATGAAACAGACTTTTCACCTCCTCTCAGGGGTAAACACTGCTTCCCCAAAAATAAAATATTTTCAATGACAAGTTTTAGGTACTTTTTATTTTCTTCTACCTGTTTAGAACTAATAGGTATATTATTACTGGCTGTTCCACCACAAAACTGGTATTCCCTCCAAAACTGCAACGACTTCAAATGCATTTCACTTTTTTCATGCTTTCTAAATTTTTCCAGGGTTTTTTTCCAATTAGAAATTTCTTGGAGTGTGAATGATTCTCCTCGATAACTGAAATTTTTTTGGCAGAACAACTGGCATGAGTAACAGAATGTCATGTCCTTTTTAATACTGTTTCCCAAATGATGAAATCTAGAACAGCAACATTTTTTAATGCTTCGTAATTTACCTTTTCGTAATTTGGATGTAAATTTTGGGTGACAGAGTCCATCAGTTATTTTCACAGATTTCATACTGCATGTAGGATTTTGGTTTGATCCTTGATCTTCTTGTACTTCTATACTAGAGTCAACTGTATGCTGACTGGGTACTGATGAAGATGGTGAAAGGCTTGGTTGCTCCACAGTACTATTAGTAACATCAGTACTTGATTCACAGGGTGAACTCTTAGGAATCTTTAGAAAAAAATGATATGATACATTTGTTTTACTAGTTTTTAAATAACATTCAAACACATCTCTTCTAAAGCAACAATAAAATGAATGTGCTACAGAAGCACTAGGAAAAAAAACCACGATTATTTAAACTACATTTTTTCTGGCTATACCCAGTGGTGCTCAAGGTTCCCTTCTGGCATCCTTGGATTGTATTTGGATCAGGCCACATGCAAGTCAAGCACCTCAATTTGTTTCTCAAGCCCAACAGGTATGTATAATTTACTTATTTATACAATCCTGGCACCCCATTTGTCCCCTGAGCTTGTCAGGAGTGATCCCCGAGTGTAGAGTAAGAAGTAACCCCTGTACCACTGGATGTGGCCTAAAAACAGAAACAAAAAATAACCGGGAGGAAAAACTAAGGATGCTTATGGATTCTATCACTGTCATCCTTTTGTTCATCGATTTCCTCCTCAAGCAGGCAAGAGCAGGCAACAGTAATGTCTCCATTCGTCCTAGTCCTGAGATTTTAGCAAGTGCCACATTGGAGGCTCCTTCAGAGTCAGGGGAACGAGATCCATCATTGTTACTGGGTTCTGGCATATCGAATACGCCACGGGGAACTTGCCAGACACTGTCGTGCGGGCAGGATATACTTGGTAGCTTGTTAGGTTCTCCAAGAGGGAGAACTAGACAATAAGAGGTCTATTAACATCGTGAAATTTGAGATTTAAGAAACTGAATGTGAATTAACAGCTTTTTCATCTGGGGCAATCCAGAGGGGGACGGATGAGTACCCCCACCTGCCCCAGTAGAGCCCCACAACTGAAAACCTCCAGAAGTCAACTGCCAACTTCCACAGGCTTGGATGTGTCTCATCCATGAGTGAATCTGTTGAAAAACCCAAGTTGTGACAGATCCAGGCTCGCATGGAGTCAGGAATGTGCGAACCCCCCACCCCCATTTTCCTGTGCTTCTGGTAGCCTGGCAGTCATGCCTATGAATTGCCTCTGGTGCCATATAAGCTCATTAATGGCCATGGTCCAGAGGCTCAGAAATAAGTCTCTTGGAAGAGAGCAACACAAGCAACATGCCACAGAGATGGCTCTGGAACCTGAAGTCACATCCAGTTTAGGAGGGTAAAAAAAAATTAACCAGTTATATTACCTTACTGGACTGGAGTGGTAGCACAGTGGGTATGGCGTTTGCCTTGCATGAGGCCGACCCGGGCAACCCAGGTTTGATTCCTCTGCCTCTCTCGGAGAGCCTGGCATGCTACCCGTGATGTATTCGATATGCCAAACACAGTAACAACAAGTCTCACAATGGAGATGTTACTTGGCCCGTTTGAGCAAATCGATGAACAATAGAAGAGTGACAGTGATAACCTTAATAAAAATTTTAGAATTCCTGGACTCTGTGCTACATTTGTGGCCGCATGACATCCCATACTCCCACCTATAAGTAAGACAAGAGTTTAATGGCTCCAGAGTGAAATACAATAATCTTCACACGCTTTCCCCTAAGGAAAACTTTCTGGATCATTTTTAGTATATTATTCTTAATAAGCAATACAAAATAAATTATTTAGGTCCTGCTTTGGGGGCAGGCTCTAGGGGTCACACAGTGGAAACATTTGAAAAATGGTGGTGGGAAGGTGTAATGGTAGTGGGACTGGTGTTGGAATATTAAATGTAAAACAGTATTGTGAACAACTTTATAAAAATAGATTAAAATTAGAAAAAAGAAATTGAATGTGAACCTCGTGGTATTTGTTGCCCTTTTTTTTGAGTTCTAGGATCAAATTAATAGAAGTCATGGTTCACATACAAAAGGCTCTTTGTTCAATTCCCCAATGCACTCTCTCTCTCTCCCTCTCCCTCTCTCTCTCTCACATAATAAAACTTACATCTGTCACGTCACTGTGGGCTCTTTCTGAATGAACTGGGTCTGTTAAAATAAATTAGAGCATACAATCAAGATTTGAAAATAATTTCTATAAAACAGCATCCTAAACTATTAACTCGTTTCCTTTGAGAACAGAATACAGATAGATTATATATGGCAAAAGTATTATTATGGCAAATATCTTCCTATCAGTTTTACCTTGTAAGATACCAGAGTTCATGATGGGCACGGCAACCTGAGTGTCTGCCAATGATACTATATTGCTTATAACTGGAGTTGTATCTTTCTTTGGAGAAGGGAGCTCCACTGAAGCACTGTGCACCATGGGAACATTTACTGATAAAAATAAACAAGAAAGGTTTCTTAAAATCTAGGCAGAACCAATCAATCAGAAGGCACGGTTTAATAAGAACTTCACTGAACAATACAATAGCCAATAGCTTTAGGTGTTGCTGGATACTGGAGTGTTTTTTTTCTTTCTTTTTTTTGGAGTGATTTTTCTTATCACTGAAGGATAGCCAGGTTCTGTAGGAGAACATAACATAATTTTTGTTTTCCAACTTCTACTTTTGCACACAATTTTTCAGTCCTTTTCTATTATTTGCTTGAAATGTTGAGCAAATTTTCACTGATCAAGAACAGAAGAGATTCGGGGCTGGAGCCATAGCATAGCGGATAGGGCATTTGCCTTGCATGCAGTCAACCTGAGTTTGATTCCCAGCATCTCATGTGGTCCCCTGAGCATGGCCAGGAGCAATTCCTGAGTGCAGAGCCAGGAGTGACCCTGTGCATCGCCGGGTCCGAACCAAAAAGGGAAAAAAGAAAAAAAAAAACCAGAAGAGATTCTTATAGAATTGCCAAATAAGTATCATTTCTAACTCTTCCAGATTCAAAACTTCAACATAAATGGAACTAAGTTGGTGTCTAAGCTAGTATGCAAAGATCTCTATATAAAGTCTGTATGCATGAGCCCCATTAGCATTCATTTTACTATATACATAAATGGCACTATTCTATATGTTGCTCTGATCAAATACATATTTGATCCTGAACAACTTATTAGTGAACTTTTTGTAATAGTGTTTTCAACTACCTCTACATCCTGTGACAACTTGTTTTTATAAAGCAGAGTTAAGTAGACATGTTATATATATATTCAAATGCAACAATCTGTAAAAATAAGTATTTTTTATCCGGTGGTGAAGTAATCCTCTTCATATACAAAAATACTGGAAAAATTTTCATTGCAGCAAGTTTTACATTGCTTTGACTTTTAAGTTAATTTGGAAATGAACCAAGTTATAAATTAACTTTAAGAGTTACTAAACCTTTGACAATTGCCAAACAAACATTACCTGTAGAAGATTCCACTTTAGCTTTACTGTGAGCAGAGAAACAATTAATAGAGCAGAAAAGTTCTGTCTTCCCCAATTCATTGGTTATCTCAACTATTTCATCTGAGGGTCTCAATGATTTGCAAAGACCAGATGGAAGTGTTTTGGCTGGCTTCTGTTAAGAGAACAGAGTAATGTTTATATTCCTGATACATGATGCATATTATTAATCAAAAACAATAACAAGTCACTTTTACATTTTTAAAAATTATTTTATCTAGGAAAAAAAACGAACAGAAAAAAGACTAGATGGCAATGACTAAAAGGAACTGATTTAATAGGGAACTACTTGTATTATTTGGGGGATATATCACTAGCAATAATGATACAAATGCAAGAAATGAAGAAAGTGATCATAGATACTCATCATCTCAATAAAATCAACTAGATAAATAAGTTTTATTAAAACAAGTAAAGTCTTTCCTTGGGTCTGAGTAATAGTACAGTGGGTAGGGCACTTGCCTTGAAGTACCCAGCCTGGGTTCGATACCCGGCATCCCATATGATACCCGAGCAACACCAGGAGAAATCCCTGAGTGCAGAACCAGGAGTAATCCCTGAGCACTGCAGTTGTGCTCCCCAACTACCCCCACCCCCCTCCATCCCCCACAAACAAGTAACAGTCATTCCTCCATATCTACTGGGCATTAATTCAGGAAAATCTACCAGCACAAAGGAGACAGAGAAGTGTACTTAAAAAGATGTGGTAACAGCAAGTTATATAAGGTAATTGCAGGATTTTGCAAGAAAGCATGACAGTACATAGGAATATGGTTCATTTACAGTGGGTAAAAGAAAAGACTAAAATATAAAAATAACTTTTTTTAAGTGAAAAAGTATAAGAATTTCTGGATATAAGAAGCAAACAATGATGACAATAAAGCAACAGAATTGCTTTTGGGGACACAGTACAATAATGAAAGACAGTATAATTTTCTTCTGCAAAGAAAAGGATATTGGCTAAGGAATAATGAAAATAAAGGCATAAATTCAAAAATTTCTATTTCTATCTATTATCAGTACAAAATTTTAAATTGAGAAATAATTCAACAATATTAAGCAATAAAAGTGGTATCATTTAGTTTACTATTCATATAGAAAAGCTAATACTTAAAATACTAAAAATACTAAATTTAAGATATCACCTAAATAATTACTTCAAATAATTATGCAACAACAAAAAACATAAAAAAATAAAAAGCCCTTAGGGCCAGAGTGATAGTACAGTGGGCAGGGCATTTGCCTTACAATGGCCAACCCTGGTTTGATCCTCGCATCCCATATGGTCCCCTGAGCCCGTCAGGTGTGATCTCTGAGCTCAGAGCCAGGAGTAAACTCTGAGCTCCACCAGCTGTAGCCCAAAATCGAAAGAAAAAAAGAAAAAAAAAAAACCTATAGAGGATTCTCCCTCATGGTTTTTTTACTTTTATGACTTTACTTCTATGATTATGAAAAAAAAAAACACGTGACATTCTTGATTCATCTTAACTTTGCATAAGTTTAAGGATTCTTAAAACTTATACATATTTCAGAGGGATGACTCAATGGGGTGGAGTACGTGCTTTGCATGAGGAAGGCCCAAATTCAATCTCTAGCACCAATAGTTACCTGACTGATCCAAAAGCATCAAACTGTGAGTAGACTGAGCACTGAGTGGTAGCACAAAAACCAATCAATTCTGTACATGGAATTAAGAGTATGTTTTTTGCTGATGAGTAGATTATGTTTGCTACCATATTTGTCATTTATAAACAAGCTAATATCTGGCTTGTGTTCCTTGGGTTTTTTGGGGGCTTGAGGGGAGCCCATACCTAGTGATACTCAAAAGTTACTCCTGACTGCACTCAGGAATTACCCAGGTGGTGCTCAGGGGACCATTTGGGATGCCTGGGATCAAACCCTGGCATTCCCATTCCATATGCTGAGTTGTCACTGTTTCACGGTCACTAACCATAAAATTCTTTAGGAAAACCTCCATACTACACTCATCATAAACTGTCCTGCAAGAAACTGAGAGCTTTGCCACCATCTTAATTATTGAATTTCTTCCCAATTCTACTTTAAGAAACCCCAACATTTGGGAGCTGGAGCGACAGCACATCAGGTAGGGCGTTTGCCTTGTATGCGGCCGACCTGGGTTTGATTCTCAGCATCCCATATGGTCCCCGAGCACCGCCAGGAGTAATTCCTGTGTGCATGAGCCAGGAGTAACCCCTGTGCATATTTGGGTATGACCCCAAGGGCAAAAAAAAGAAAAAAAAGAAACCCTAACATTTGGGGTTGGAGGAATAGTACAGCAGGTAGGGTGTTTGCCTTGCATGTGGCCAACCCAGGTTAAATTCCTGGCATCCCATGTGGTCCCCCAAGCACCACCAGGAGTAATTCCTGAGTGCAGAGTCAGGAGTAACCCGAGCATTGTTGGGTGTTACCCCACCCCAAAAGAAATCCCCACATTAAAGAACAAAAGGATCACTCACCACAAAAGAAATCCCCACATTAAAGAACAAAAGGATCACTCACCACAAAAGAAATCCCCACATTAAAGAACAAAAGGATCACTCACAGGACAACGTTTTTTGGCAGTTAAATTTAAACTTAACGGTCCTCACTTTACAGAACAGATCTTTATTCCTACTTGCATATATACGGAAATATTCTTTGAACTACTAAAGTAATGAAACTGTCCTTTTACCGGAAGTATACAGAACAGACTCGAACTAGTATAACAGAAAGCTCCACAGTTCTCAAAATAGTTCACGAAGAGACTGTTAGCTTAGTGAAACTTTGAAAAGTATAGGTGGTTGGAACAATAGTACAGTGGGTAGCCTTGCACACAGCAAACCTGGGTTTAATCCCCTGCATACCATATCGTTCCCCAAGCTCACCAGGAGTAATTCCTGAGTTCAGAGCCAGAAATAACCCGAGTATGACCCAAAAAGCCAAAAAAAAAGAAAAAAAAAAGAAAAAGCAGATATATTACTGCAAAGTTTATGTTTCATATTCTGGTATTTTACTTCAAACTCAATCTAGAATTCAAAAGAAATTCAATGAAAAAACAAAATACTTTTGAAAGAGAGAGAGCACGAGTGTGTGTCCTCCGTCTGTCCTATACCCGCTCAGCGGTTAGTCTTGATTCAGGAATTATTCTTGGCAGTGCTGGGGGACGATATGGGATGCCACGGATCAAAATCAGATGAGCTGCATGCTAGGCAAACACCCTGTCCACTGTACTGTTTCTTTGGTAGAGTCTTTAATTTTTTTTTTTTTGGGGGGGGGTGGACAACTGTGGCAGTGCTCAGTGACTGCTCCTGGCAGGGCTTGTGGACCATAAGGATGCCAGGAATTAAAAAAAAAAATATTTGAGTTTGGGCCATACCCAGCAGTGCTTGGGGGATCATAAGGGGTTGTCAGGGCTTGAACCCAGGTCGGCCTCAGGTAAGGCAAACACACTACCTGCTGTACTCCAGTCCCTTGCTAACAGTTTTAAAGAAGAATAGCAACTTACAATAGTAGTCTTCTGACACATGCTGCATTTGGTTAAAATGTTATTGTTACATAGAGCAACAAAAGGTTTTCTTTTTTCTTCATAAGATGAAAGACAAGCTTGGCTGCAAAAATTTTTGCTTGAGGTATCTTCCGGCTGGATTCTGATTACATCCTTTAGATTTAAAATATCCCTAAAACAATAAAAATAAAATAAAATATCCCTAAAAACAAATTAATGAAGGCATCAGTAAGTACTCATTATAATTTCACAACTGTTACTGCTTCACGTATTATGAAGAACTTTGTAATAGTAATACCAACAGTGATTTTGAAATCACTGACAAATGACAAAATCTGAATTTGGGTGGTTCTATCATTTAACATTAAGTAACTATAGGTTGGTCATTTATGTTCTCTAAATACTGTTTCCTCATCTACAGAGTTGGGATTATAAAATACTTAAGTATTGTTTTGAGGATTACTTAGCCTAGTGACAACAGAATGATGAGAAATCACATATTCAGGGGCCAGAGAGATAGTACAATGGGTAGGTATGATCCCCAGCAATCCATGTGGTCTTTCAAGCCCCACCAGGACTAACTCCTGAGTGCACAGCCAAGAAAAACCCCTGAGCATCACCAGGTGTTGCCCCCTCACCTGGAAAAAATAACATATTCCTACCTGAACAACTTTGAAATAAGATTCCAAAATTCCTGGGGCATTCTCTCAGGTATATTCGAATGTGTGCATGTGTTAATTCATGAGATCAGTACTTTCATAATAATTTTTTTTTGGGGGGAGTGATACTCCGTGGTGCTCGGGAGACCATATAGGATGCCGGGGGTCAAACCTGGATCAGATGCATGCAAGGCAAACATCCTACCTACTGTACTACTGCTCAGACCCCTTTCATAATTTTAGGATATTATTGTGTGTGTGTGTGTGTGTGTGTGTGTGTGTGTTATTTGAACTCATAGTGCAAAGCAACGGACCAATCCTACAGTTCAATTCTTTGGCATACACCTTTTTTGTTTTAGGGCCACACCTGGTGATGCTCAGGGGTTACTCCTGGCTCTGTGCTCAGGAATTACTCCTGGTGGTGCTGGGGGGACCATAAATGATCCTGGAGATTGAACCCGGGCCATCCATGTGGAAGGCAAACACTCAGCCTACTGCACTACTGCTAAGCCCAATGCCTTAAAGAATTGAGAAAAGGTACTCCAAAAAGTACATATATATGCATGTTCATAATAGCACTATTCACAACAGCTAAGAGGAAACATCCCAAACAGTGAAATATTTGTCAAAAAAGTAAGTACTGATAAACAAGCTATAACATGAACTTAAAAAATATTAACTAGGGGCTGGAGCGATAGCCCAGCGGGTAGGGCCTTGCACGCGGCTGACCTGGGTTCAATTCCCAGCATCCCATATGGTCCCCCGAGCACCATCAGGAGTAATTCCTGAGTAGCATGAGCCAGGAGTAACCCCTGTGCATCGCCAGGTGTGACCCAAAAAGAAAAAAAAAAATAAGCTAAGGAAAAGAAGTCAGAGACATTGTCTGGTATTTCTAGTAAGAGTACTAATGATGGTTGTCAAGAGTAAAGAAAAGAAACAGGAAATGACAGATACTGTCTTAATGGATAAAGCTTTTGCTTTAGAGTGATATAGGATAGGAATGTTTTGAAAATAGAAGTTGCTGCACATTATTTTGAATGAACAATTGTTTTTGCTATATGAATTTTACATCATTAAATTGGAAAAAAAAGAGAGACAGGAATGGATGGAAAGGGCAAGGTTCTTGCATTGCATGAAGATGACCTGAGTTCAATCCCTGTACCATCAGGAGTGATGCCTGAGCACAGAGCCAGGAAAAATTCTGAGCACAGTAGGGTGTGGCACCGCTTTCCCCCATAACCCCGCCCCCCCCCCCCCGAAAAAGAGGCAAAGGTGGAGATGGAATGAAGGGTAAAACTGTCAAAGCTCAGCTGGAGAGATACTACAGAGTTAAGGAATTTGCCTTGCATGTGGTCAACCTGGGTTTGATCCTGGCACTGCATATGCTCCCCTGAACACCTCCAGGAGTGTTCACTGATTAGTGAGGAGCCTGAGCACTATGTGGTGTAGCTCAAAAACCAATATAGCACCGTCCTCCCGTTGTTCATTGATTTGCGCGAGTGCGCCCAGTAACGTCTCCATTGTGTGAGTTGTTACTGTGTTTGGCATATCGAGTATGTCACAGGTAGCTTGCCAGGCTTTGTGTCATGGGTAGCTTGCCAGGTTTTGCCATGCGGGCGAGATACTCTCGGTAGCTAGCCAGGCTCTCCAAGAGGGGCAGAGGAATCGAACCTGGTCCAACTGGGTCGGCTGCATGCAAGGCAAACACATTACGCACTGTGCTATCACCAGAAAATAACAAAAGAAATATCCACAAAATCAATGAATAAAAATTTAAAAAATGTAAAGCTTTAACATTTATCAAGGCAGTAAAAACAGAAAAGTACTATAATTCGTTATACACTGCTGTGCATTTGTTGTAAAAATTATTCCTCTTAGGGTCAGAGAACTATAGGGATTAAGACACAAACCTTGTATGTGATGGACCCTGGTTTGATTACTGGTACACATGGTTCTTTGAACAGCCCTGGAGTCCCCTGAGCCTGGTGGCCAAGATAATTTCAAACACTGCAGGGCCCAAGCAGCACCACTTCCTTTGGCCCTAACATTCAACCACAGTCTGACTGGCCAAAAATTGCTGGGTCTGGCTCCTGGAATGCCAAGCTGGGAGTTGCCCTTGATAGCCAGTGGGTAGGGTATTTTCCTTGCACACTGCCAAGCCAGGTGAGATCCATGGCACCTCATATCGTCCCCTGAGTCCCACCACAAGTGATTCCTGAGTGCAGAGCCAAGATTAAGGCCCGGGCTCTGCTGCGTATGGTCCAAAACCCAAGCAAACAAAAACCAAAAAAACTAAAACAAAACTACCCCCCATGCACTGAGTTCACTAGTTTTAAATGAGAGAAAATTTTTAAAAAAACATTAGCTTTAATTTCTAATAGCATATATTTAAAGATACAACCCAAAGTATAATTCTTTGAGTTTACCTAGTTTTTCACAAGAGTAAAAAAGTTCAGGAGAACAAAATATTTGAGAGCTTTGCTAGAGAAACACTAAAGTAACTGGTAATATAGTACCCCCAGGATATCAGTTTTTAAGAGAATAGTTTTCCACATGAGGGAGATGTGTCAGGAATGAAATAAGGTACACTGGTAGGGGAAATGTACACTGGTGAAGGGCTGGGTGTTGGAACATCGTATGACTGAAATCCAAATACAAAATAAACAACTTTAAAACTTTGTAACTATATCTCAAAATGATTCAATTAAAAAAGGATAAGAAAGTTTTCCAGATGAAAAAATCTTAAACCAACACATCTTTAACTCTTTAAAAATTAAAAATATTGGGGCTGGAGAGACAGTACAGTGGATAGGGTGTTTGCATTGCACACAGCCGATCTGGGTTGATTCTTGGCATCCCATATGGTTCCCCAAGCACTGCCAGGAGTAATTTCTGAGTGCAGAACTAGGAGTGACACCTGAACATCACTGGATGTGGGCCCCCCAGAAGATTAAAAATATTTTATGTGTTATGATCTGTTTTGTGAGTGGGGTAAGTGGATTTGAGCCACATCCAGATATTTTCAGGGTTTACTCCTGGCTTTGTGCTCAGAGATCACTCCTGGTGATGTTCAAGGGACCCCAAGGTCAGCCACATACAAGGCAAGCACCTTAATCTCCTTACTCTCTGGCCCTGATCTGCCTTTTTAAACAGATGGCACCAGAAATAACAGGTTCCTTAACATAACATCAATCACTTTCCTTGTGTGAAATAGAGCTCTCAACACTATATACTCAATGTCTGAATGTATACGTAATCCTGGTACTTTACCAGACATACTGTGGTTCTAGGCAGTTAATGCCTTGGCGATATAATTTACTATAGTTCCTACTGCCCAGGTTCATAATCTAACAAGGAAAAGTATCAATTCTATGATCAGGTCCAGAGAGATATAGTACAGTGAGTAGGGCACTTGTTCACCTTGCACGCAGCTGACATCCCATATGTAATGTATTCCCCAAGCAGGACTAATCCCTGAGCATTGCCCTGTATGGCCCAAAACCAAAAATTTATGATCAATGTTTTGGGAATTATGAAAATTATGAAGACAAAAACGATGGATGGAACAATTACCTGGCTAAAAGGAAGATGGTGTAAGAAGGGATAAAGGAATGATATGAAAATAGCCAAGAGGTAAAGCTTGAGGAAGACAAATTAGCTGGATGAGAAGTAGGCAGGAGAAAACTGCAACAGGAGAAGCAGGAAAGTCTGATAATATTTTGTTTTTCCTTCCTGTTACCAGCATACTACCCAAGTAATATATTAGTGTAATACTTCCTGGTATCAGCTGGCTCCTACTCTACTAAAACCTTATAAACAAAAAATAAATTTTGCTGGGCTATAGAGGTTTATTAAAGGAGCTTGCTTGCCTTTCTCATCAATCCTTATATGGTTCCCTAAACCCTGGCAGAGTGACCCCTGAGAACAAAATCAGGGCTAAGTCCCAAGCACCTTTTATTATAGCCAGGTGTGGACCATCCCAAACTACATCAATAGCCGATAATTAGCGAAAGTCCTGAGACTACATTGAGACTAGCCAATGTGGAATTTTAAAAGAAGGTTCGATAAAGGAAGAGATTACTATACTGAACAATGGGATGATTTCATCCAATTAATGTTATTATCACCTTTCCACCAACAAATAAAATACTCTTCTGCACCAATTTGTTTTTTTCTTTTGGGTTTTGGGGCAATCTGATGATACTCAGGGGTTACTCCTGATGGTGCTTGGGGACTAATGCTGGGGATTGAACTCAAATATTTGTTTTGAGGCCACATACAGCTCTGTGCTTAAGGGCCACTCCTGGCTCTGTGGTCAGCAGTCACACCAGGCAGTGCTCTGGGGATCATATGTGATGCCAAAATTCAAACTACTGTCACAGTTACATTGCAAATACCTGAAGCTTTGTACTATCTGGCTCCCTAAAACTTTTTATTCTGAAAGAAGTAAAACTTGTGTCATAGTTTTGCTCAGATATGAATTCTTTGCCTTAGAAACCAACTGTCACAATAATTTTTCCTACTTCAACCTTTTACAAATTTTAATTACTGAATCCAACAGTTACCTGTGTACCAGTCACACCAGGCAATGCTGGGGTGGGCCATGGATAGAACCCAGGGTTTGTATATGTTAAGACATGTTATACTACTTGAGTTCTATCCAGCCTTGCTCCAGTGTGTTTCAAAACTCTTTCAATATGTGAGAGATCTGCTGAAGATGTAAAATGGGTAAACTCCAAATACAGCAACATGGTACCTTAAAGTCTCAGGGCCTCAGTTTCCTCAAAAGCAAAAGAAAATGGACTGGATGATTTCTAAGGTCCCTTCCAGTTTTATGATTCTGTAGAGAAAGAAGGCAGGACACAGAAAGAACCAAACAGCCCATAGCAAAAAAGAAAAATAAATAAAAGCATTGAAGAGTTGAAAAAAAACATAAGAAAGGTAAGTAGAGTTCTGAGAAGACTTGAAGCAACAAATAACACTCAAAGCAGCAGCCAAATAAGGAGCTGAAGCAACCAGTAAGAATTTGTGAGTTTGCTCAGAGTAGTAACAGTGTAGTTTACATTTACTGGGTTCTTACTATATATGCCAGTATTATTCTGATTACTTATCTTATATTCAAACCCATACATCTTACGTGCATCTAGTAAAACAAACAGGAATATTAAAAAACACTTTTTCAATACTTTTCAAACTTTTCCATGAATATAAATCATCTGGTGATAAATGCAGATCTAATTCAGTAGTTCTGAATAAGACCTGAGGTTCTGCATTTCTAACAAGTTTCCAAAGTATGTATATCAATAATGTTAAAGAACACGTTTTGAATAGTAAAATGTTAACTGTAAACGGACACAAGCAAGATTCAAATAATGGTAATCTGATCCCCAAATAAGACATTATAACAAGGAAATTCATTAATTCAGAAACAAATTAGTGATCTATTTTCTTGTTCTAAAACAAAGATATTTAAAACAGCATTAGCATTTAAGAATAGCTAAGGAAACAGTATTATATATGATAAAGGATTCTCAAAGCATTAATCCGTAACAAATCTCCAAGTTCTGCACATTTTTTGCTATTCTATTTTAAAATTCTTTCCATATATCTATGTAAGTTCCATTTAACAGCTTATAAAAATCTTGAAGATTAAACATTATAAATATTTGATGGATACTCAACTTTTCAGAAAATTAACTTTTACCATTACAAGAAAAATGTTAGATAAGTTACACTTTAGAAAATCCAAAAACATAATGACTGATATTTAGTAGGTTGCTTCCTACACAATTTTACAATAGAATATTTTTCTGAGGGGACATGGGGCTAGGGTTGGACTATATTTGGCTCTGCATTCAGGGATCACTTTGGTGGGGGATGGGGAATCAACTGGGGATGCCAGGGATCAAACTTGGGGCAGGCATCTGTAAGGCAAGCACCTTACCGACTATACTCTCTGGCCCCTAAGGTTTTAAAAAGATTTTTTGGTGTGTGCACCAAACCTAGGTTTACTCAGAGATTACTCCTGGTTCTGTGTTAAGAGGTCACCACCAGCAGTACTGGGAACTGAAGCTGGGACAGACGTGTACAAGGTTAGCACATTACCCCCTCTACTTCTCCAAATATAGAATGGGTTTTTAATGATACTTACAAAAGTAAGAAAGTTTTGGAAGTAATTTGAAGCTAAAGAGAATTAGAATTCCTTATATCTTAATTTTGCAAATCTGTTGGGAGTACAAGGAGCTTAGGTTTATCAGGCTGCAGCTATCACAGTGCTCCCGAGTCACTCCCATTACTTTGTTTGTCTGTAACTACTTCTATGCTCTTTTGCCTGCCGTTTTTTGTGTGTTTACACACAAATCTCTTAATAAACCTAGTTTTGAAAATCTACAAGAGAAATTCAAGCAAAAGTGGTTTGTTTTCACTAGACCAGAATTATACTTTTTGTTCATTTTTGGACCACATCTAGTGGTGCTCAGGACTTCTGGCTCTGTTCTCAGGGATCACTCCTGGTGGACACTAGGGATCATATTAGGGTACTGGGATTGAACTGGGTTGACTACATGCAAGCTATACCTGCTGTACTGTCACTCTGGTCCCCTCAACTCAGTTTTAATTTTTTTCTAGTATTTTAATGTATTTCTAGTATTTTAATTTTTTTTTTTTTTTTTTTTTTTTTGGTTTTTGAGTCACACCCAGCGATGCTCAGGGGTTACTCTTGGCTCATGCACTCAGGAATTGCTCCTGGCGGTGCTCGGGGGACCATATGGGGTGCTGGGAATCGAACCTGTGTCGGTCATGTTGGCTGCGTGCAAGGCAAACGCCCTACCCGCTGTGCTATCGGTCCAGCCCCTTAATGTATTTTTTAAAAACATTTTAATGTCTATGCATTCTGGGTGGGTGCATGGGACCATATGAGGTGGGACCGTATGAGGTTGGCCAGCGCAAGACAAGCACTCTACCTACTACTGCTCCATCCCTGATACTTTCTTAAGACAGTACAACTTTAGGAAAAAAGTGACAATGTTGAAAACTTAAACCAGGCCTCCATCCTACATCTGTGCTGGAAATAAGAAGAGGAATATTTAGAATTATATACTTTGAGCAGTTTGAACAAGTTCTCTTGGGAAGAGCTGGTGAACTGGTAGATGAAATGTATTCAGTGATACATGGAGTGGAGCAGAAAAGCTGAGTAGATCCTTTCCTCTGATAAGCAGTTTGCCCCTTCTGAAGAATTTTTTTACAACCAGAACAGGAAACCTGAATAGCTGTGGATGAATCTGAAGGGAGCATTTTACTCATGCCTGATGATGCCAGAGAAAGCTGAATGCCTGCCGTCAATTGTGAGGCTATAAACACAAAAAACAGGACAGAGAAAAATTAGAATCTACATGAAATCAAATATGCATTCTTTCAACTAATTTCAAAGTTACTTCTCCCTATCTTAAAATACAAACAAACAATGCAATAATCTAAAGGACTTCTAGGAGCCATGATAATGGCTCAAAGGGCTGGAGAGCATGTTTTGTGTAAGGGAGTCTTGAATTTGTCTTCTGCCCCAGCACTGCATGGTCCCCACAGCACCTCCAGGAGCAATCCTCAAGCACGAAGTTGGTATGATCCTCCAGAACCCCCTCAAAAAACCCAAAACAAACTCAATAAAAACCCCAAAGATATTCTAAAAAAGACTACATTAACTATCATGTCAGAATAAATAATCAAAATTATTCTATTACCATCATTTGAAAATGTAGTGTTTATTTTCAGTTCATTCTCCTGAATTTTGGATTGCTGGGCTTGACAATACTCCTTAAAAAAAAAGGAAGAAAAAAGAAAGAAAAGAATAAATATAATGTATTTATGATGACCAACAAAAAAATGATAAGTTATGCTAAAAGTCTGTTAAATAAGTTATATAATAGAATCAGGCCATGGTATACGGGTAAAAATTCCCCTTTTAGTCCTGGTTTGGCTAGTAACATCAAGCACTGCCTTTTCTATTGACCTAGATATGATTCCAGACATTTCTGTTACCATAGTCATTTAGTTGCCCTACTAACAAGTAACATAATGATGGCATCTAATATCCTTCCTTTGTTCTTTCTATCTTTCTATCTATCTATCTATCTATCTATCTATCTATCTATCTATCTATCATCTAATTGGGGGCTTCCTAAGCGATGCTCAGGGGGGTCTAGGGGCCACTCCCAGGGATTCTTGGCCAATCATGTGCCCAATCACTGTTGAGGGCACAAGGATAAGGCACTGCTAAGGCCCTTTGGTGCAGAGCATCAACCGGGTCATATCTGTGAGTGCCTAGGGACTTCCAGCTATACTCAGCAATGCTGGGGGGAAGCCAGGGATGTGGTGCTGGGGATTAAACTAGGGTTGGATGCATGCTAATCCCTATTATTTTGTTGGCCCTCCTTCCTTCCTTGTTCTAATCATTAATGGTGAATCTTCATAAAAACTTTAACACACAAAAAATTGTTACATAGGCTAAATGAATCTTACATAGGAAGATTTTTTTTTTAAGAGTGGCAGGCAATCTATCTGAACTTGATTTATGTGTTTGAATGTCCCCAATTTTAGGTGATTTCTAAACAGAATACTAGAGTGGAGTTCATGCCCAATTCAATCAGCCTAATCAATGGCTGAATAGATAGCAATACTACATTAAAATAAAAATAAAAAAGAATACTAGAAGAAAATTAAAACTGAATTGAGGGGGCCAGAGTGACAGTACAGCAGGTACACTTGCATGTAGTCAACCCAGTTCAATCCCCAGTACCCTAATATGGTCCCTAATGTCCACCAGGAGTGATCCCTGAGAACAGAGCCAGAAATAAGCCCTGAGCAATGCCAGTTGTAAAAAAAAAAAAGGAAAGCCTCTTCAAAAAGTAGTGCTGTGAAAACTAGGCAGCTACATGTAAAAAAAAAAAAAAAAATTTAGACCTCTTTTTAACTCTATGCACAAAAGTTAGATCAAAATAGATTAAAAGATCTCAATATCAGACCTGAATCCATAAGATACATGTAAGAAAAAGTAGGCAAAACCCTCCACGACATTGAAGTTAAAGGCATCTTCAAAGATGAAACTTCACTGAACAAGCAAGCGGAAGCACAGATAAGCAAATAGTACTACATGAAACTAAGAAGCTTCAAAAGAAACGGTGTCTAAGATACAAAGACAGCCCACGAAATGGAAAAAATTATGTGTTCAATATCCATCTGATAAATGGTTAATACCAAAGCTACATAAGACACTGTTAAACTTTAAAAAAAAAATCCAACCAAATTACAAAATGAAGAGAGGAAATGAACAGAAACTTACTCAAAGAAGAAATTCAAATGGCCAAAAGGCACATGAAAAAATGCTTCACGCCACTAATCATCAGGGTGATGCAAATCAAAATGAGATTATCAACTCAAACCACAGAGACTGGCATACATCCAAAAGAAAAAGACCAACTAGTGCTGGTGCAAATGTGGATGATGGGGTGTGTGTATGTGGAAGGGACTTTCCTTCATTGTTGGTGGGAATGCAGACTGGCCCAACCTTTTTGAAAACAATACGGACATTCCTCAAAGAACTTGAGGAATTGAAATTGAACTTCCCAGCAATACCACTTCTGGGAATATACCCTGAGGATCAAAAAAACACTGAGAAAAGCCATCTGCATTTCAATGTTCATTGTGGCACTATTCACAATAGTCAGAATCTGGAAACAACCTGTGTGCCAGAGAACAGACGACTGGATAAAGAAACTATGATACATCTACACAACTGAATACTACACAGCCACCAGGAAAAATGAAGTCATGAAATTTGCTTGGATGGACATGGAGAGTATCATGCTGAGTGAAACAAGTCAGAAGGAGAGGGACTGGTATAGAATGACTACATTCATTTGTGGGATTAAAAAACAAAACAAAACATGTAGTATGAGACTAATACTCAAGGACAGGGTAAACAGGAGCAAGGAGGACCGGTGAATGGTTGGAAACTTGACGTAAGAGTATGTGGGGGTTGAAGGGCAGTTAGGATAAAGGACCAACGTGACAAAATAGTTAGAAATGCTCATTTTGGGACAGGAACTGAGTGTTGAAAGCAGGTAAAGGGATATACCTGATACGTAATAACCGTTCATTATCTGCATTGCAAACCATAAAGCCCAAAAGGAGAGAGGAAGTGAGGGTGGGTGGGAAGAGAGTGGGAGAGGGAGGAGGGAGAGAGAAGTGCCTGCTATAGTGGCAGGTGGTGGGTGGAGGTATACAAACTGGGACCACCGGTGGTGGGAAAAGTACACTGGTAAAGGGATGAGTGTTGGAACATAATATGACTGAACTCCAAACATGAACAACTTTGTAACTGTGTATATCACTGTGATTCAATAAAAAAGAAAAAAGAAAGAAAGAAAAGGAAAACAATAGAAAACAAGGTAGAGTTTTACCTGAGTATTGTCAGGTTCCATCTTAATTTCTTTCAGGTGTTCTAGATGTGGTGCAACTGCCTTATCACATTCACCAGCTATTGATTCTTTCATTTTAGTATCTTATGCTAACTTGTTCTCCAGTTCCAAATGAATGCCTTTTTTTCTCGGAAAACACTTGCAGATTCTTAAAATAAAATATGGATTAGTAAAGAGTATGATGTAAAAACTGTATCTATATAAATAAGGCAATTTACTGCTGGTGGAAATTTGTTGTAAGGTAAATAGCACAAAAGACTTTAGGTAGCTTGGCAAACACTGGTTTTCTTCCATTTAACCATTATTCCTCAATATAGTTTGCTTGACTTTGGTACATACAACTGTATGATTTCTTATGGTATTAGCCTTTATTTCTATTTTCCCAGGCCTGACTATAGTATAAAACCACCAAACCCATAAAATTTTAACTTACAAATATCAGCAGTGTAAATGTATCTGAAGTGAACACTGCTTATGTAGTTCGCAATACTCACTAGCCATACTGCCCTCATATAGAACAAGTTATCATCTATATAATTCAACTGCTCTTCTTTTGGCTTCTCACATAAATATTAAAAGAGGACTGGAGAAATAATAGAGGTTAAGGTGCTTACCTTGCATATGGCCATCCCTAGTTCAATCCCTAGTACCACAAACAATCCCCTGAGCACTGCCTAGAATGATCTCTGATCACAGAGCTAGGAGCAAGCTTTGAGCACTGTGGGATGTATCTCAAAAATCAAACCAAAAACACAAAAAACTTTATTTTGGGTCCTGGGGTATCCACACCTGGCAATGCTCAAGGGTTACTTCTGGCTTTGCACTCAGGAATTACTCCTGGAAGTGCTCGGGGGACCAGTGGGAAGCCAGAGATTGAACCCAGGTCAGGCACATGCAAGGCAAACGCCCCCATACACTTTAATAGCTGTTCAGCCCCTAAAATACATTATAAAGCTTTTTTTTTTCTTTTTGGGTCACACCCAGCGATGCATAGGGGTTACTCTTGCCTCGGCACTCAGGAATCACTTCTGGTGGTGCTCAGGGGACCATATGGGATGCTGGGAATTGAACCCGGGTTGGCCGCGTGCAAGGCAAATGCCCTACCCGCTACGCTATTGCTCCAGCACCTAAAGCTATTTTTTTCTGTTGTCTCCCTCCTTGATAATTTTCTTGGAATGACTCTAAGACCTATTTCTCATCTACCTCTTTTTCAGTCTTCTCACATATTTTACCTGCTTTTAAAATATATTACTCCAAAACACAATTTCCTGGAACGCTTCTCACTTGTGCATTACCTCAAATTTAATTATCACTTCTAGGTTACAATCTTCAGCTCGTCTATTTACTACCTGATTGCCTACTAAGTAAGTATCTCCACTTGGATATTCCAAAGGTCCCATCAAGAAATTCTTGATTTCTATTTTCAAGGCCCTCCCGTTGATCATCGATTTGCTCGAGTGGGCCCAGTAACGTCTCCACTGGAGACTTTGTTGTTACTGTGTCTGGCATATCGAATACTCTCGGTAGCTTGCCGGGCTCTCCGAGAGGGGCAGAGGAATCGAACTCGGGTCGGCCATGTTGGCTGCGTGCAAGGCAAACGCCCTACCCGCTGTGCTATCGCTCCAGCCCCCTCTGAAAATAGATTTTTTTGGGGCCACTCTCACAGGTGTTCAGGGATCACGCTGGTACTGCTCAGGGGGAATAAAATGGAATGCCTGGGATGGAACCCGGGCACGTGTAAGGCAAGTGCCCTATCCACTTGACTATCCAGCCTGCCCCATTACATTTTCACAATTTCTTATGAGATGTCTGGGTATTACTGTTACAGAGTAGGATGTTCTTGCACTTAGAAAATTCTGCTCAACATAGTAAGGTAACTGCAAACAAAGCATAAATTAGGGAAGATGGCCAAAGTAACCTCCTAGAAAGTGAAATTCATATTAGGTTTTATGGAGATTTATATACAACAGACAGGAGAAAATCCAGATAGAGGAAGAGCATAAGCAAAAAGCATATATTTTGGGTGATATTGCACAGCGGGTGGGGCGTTTGCCTTGCATGCAGCCAACCCAGGTTCGATTCCTTCATCCCTCTCAGAGAGCTTGGCAAGTTACAGAGAGTATTCCACCAGCACGGCAGAGCCTGGCAAGCTCCCCGTGGCATATTCGATATGCCAAAAAACGGTAACAAGTCTCACAATGGAGCCGTTACTAATCCTGGGATTGGGAGGACAGTGCTACAGTGCTATTTTAAGTTATTATGAAACAATGAAGTGGGAGGAGCGATAGCACAGCGGTAGGGCGTTTGCCTTGCACGCAGCCAACATGGCCGACCCGAGTTCGATTCCTCCGCCCCTCTCAGAGAGCCCAGCAAGCTACTGAGAGTATCTCGCCTGGCAGAGCCTGCCAAGCTGCCCATGATGTATTCGATATGCCAAACACAGTAACAACAAAAAAAGTCTCCAATGGAGACGTTACTGGGCCCGCTCCAGCAAATCGATGAACAGGAGGAGAGAGACAGTGACAGTGAAGTGGGAGGGGAGGAAATTGGAAAAGCAGATAAGCATAATGGTTGGAAGGTCTAGAAAGCTAAACATCTTGAATTCATCATGTAAATCAGCAGCTTTTAGGGACTTAGCACATACTTGTATATTGTGTAGATAGCTTTAAATAAGTTTGTAAAATCATAAGACAACTAGATGTGTTATATATCAAATAGTATTTTTTTTTGAACCTTTAATTTGTACAAGACAAAGAATTTCAGAAAATAGCTTTTCTGCCATCTGGCTGCCCATGTTAAGTTCGAATTTTTTTCTGACGGGGTCACCCGGGGATGCTAAGGGGTTACTCCTGGCTCTGCATTCAGGAATTATTCCTGGTGGGCTTGCAGGGGCCATATGGGATGCCGGAGATCGAACCCGCGCCGGCCATGTGCAAGGCTCTACCTTGCTGTACTATCGTCTGGGACCCGCACCTATTTTTAATGTAGGAGTACTGCTATTTATTCAGCCACTGATAAGCTGATTGAATTGCCGCACCTATTTCGGGTTTTAACGGTTTTCACTCACAGAAAAACCTAGGACCAGTTTTACGACTCACATCACTAATGTTCGCAAAGTACAAATGAGTTAAGTCTCGAGTCAGGGCTACATGTAACTGTTCTTCTTACACATTTTAAGAACATATAATCGAGGAGAAACACCAGTTGTCGAGCTACATTAGAGCTATCTCAAAAAAGGATAACTGGGCTGGAGCGATCATACGGTGGGTTTTTGCCTTGTACACAGCCGACCCGGGTTCGATCCCCGGCAACCCTTACAGTCCGGCCGGCAGCGCCAGGAGTAACCTGGGCACGGCCGAGTGTGGCCCAGAAACAAACAAGATCATTTCAGAGCTCTGGGTTCAGGCTGCTTTGCAAGGCCTAAACTTTTTTTGGAGTGGCACATCTGAAAAAGCTCCAACACCTGAACCCTCGGCAAACGCCAGCCCTCCTGGCAAACCAAGATATTCTCAATCCTGCGCGCGAAATCAAATAAAACTGGACTCAGGAGTTTTACATTTCAAAATGTAAAGGCTGCACTTTGTAAAAGCTTGAAAGGCTGCGCTCCCACTGCCTCCCAATTTCAAGCCATCAAACTCCGGGCGGGAGGCGGCGCTCCCAGGACCCGCGCCAAGCCCAGGGAGTTCCCGGCTCCGCACGCCGCGCCGCCGGATGCGGCCCGAGCACAAAAACACCAACTTTCTGGAAGCATGTGATCTGTCGGGTGAGAATCCCGTGCCCAGTTCTACTTGCACCAAGCCAGTAACCTTTTTTTTTTTTTTTTAACCCTCCTTCCACCACATTAGGAGAACCACGTTTCGGAAACTGAGGGAGCGCAAGAGACCGCGGCCGGGGGCGGGCAGGAGGAAGGAAACTCGGGGAAAGAGGGGCACTGAACGCCCTCCCTTCCCACTCCCCACTCCTGGGAAAAGGTCACGGACGCAACGGACACCAACCCGGGGGGGCCAGACGCTAGATTCCCGACCCCTCAACAGGGCGGAATCCGCAAGCAGAGCGCCCCGGCTGGAGACGCCAGGCACAACCGGACCCTTCTTCCTCTCGAGGACAGACGAAACTCCGCCACTCTCCGGTAAAAATGGAACAGGGGCCCCGGGGGAAAGCCCGAAACCAGCGCCGCTTACGGAGTCTTACTACTTTCTCTCACGGACGCTAGCGGAGCGAGCTCGCACGACGGAAGTTCCAGGCGAAACGGCCCCGCTGGCGCCGCCCTTTTCCCGGCGTGCTTCGCGCCCGAGCACGCGCAGAGAGCCGGCGCGGCTGGCCCCGCCCCCTTTCCTCTTCTGCACGTGAGCCTTTCAGGATGCTGCGAGTCCTACCTTCTGGAGGTCTGCCTGTTGGGTACCAGATTGGGTCCTAAAGGCTAGAGAAGTGGAGGGCCTTTGGGGTGCCTGGACTCTGGAATTGGCTCTGTTGGCTACTTTCTCTATCCTTGAAATGGGAATATAATTACTGTCTGCTGCCTACGACATAGGCTTGAAATGATGAGAAATGCAATGTGTAAAGTGCTGGGAAAGAGCAGTTTCTCAGTAAATGGTATTATGTGCAAATATAGGATTCAGACTTCTTCCATTTTGCGGAGGCCCTAACTGAGTTTCCAAAATATGGAGCTGGAGAGAGTACAGTGGTAGAGGGTTTGCCTTGCACGCGGTAGGCATGGGTTCACTCTCTAGTGAGGTATCCAGATCCTTGTCAGGAGTGATACCGGAGCGCAGAGCCAGAAGTCAGCCCGGAGCACTGTTGGATGTGGCCCAACAACAAAAACAACAACAAAACGTGACAAAAACGTTTGTGGCAAAGAAACCACTACGGTGTATTGTATTTTATTGGGGCGTGGGATTAGTGTCTACCCAGTGTGCTCAGGGCTGACTCCTGGCTCTGCACTTAAGGATCATTCCTGTTGGGACTCTGGGGACCAAACTGGTGCCGGTGATCTAACCCGGGGTTGGCCATGTGCAAGGCAAACACCCTACCCGTTTACTAAGATGCCAGCCACTTACAGTTCTTTGAAAAATTTAACAAGTTTTTTATTTTTTAAATTTTACTCAGGGCTGGAGCGATAGCACAGTGGTAGGGCGTTTGCCTTGCACGCAGCCAACATGGCTGACCCGAGTTCGATTCCTCCGCCCCTCTTGGAGAGCCCGGCAAGCTACCGAGAGTATCTCGCCCGCACGGCAGAGCCTGGCAAGCTCCCCGTGACGTATTCGATATGCCAGACACAGTAACAACAAAGTCTCCAATGGAGACGTTACTGGGCCCGCTCGAGCAAATCGATGATCAACGGGAGGGCCTTTTAAATTTTACTTATTTATGTATTTGGGCGGAGCGATAGCACAGTGGTGGGGTGTTTGCCTTGCACCCAGCTGGCCCGGCAAAGGCGGGTTCAATTCGTT